CACCATTGTAAAGAAGGCCTCCATATCTATTCTTCATAATAATTACTATTTCTGTTGTAAATCTAAAGAATTCCAGTCTGAGTAAATGACTGGAATTATGTCTAAGAGACAACAAAATTGGACTGACAAACTTAAAAAAAAAAAAATCAACCTGACTTCATTTGCTTCAGCTGGTACTATGAAAAGTATTAGAAGCTTAGGTGTGGCGCTCAGGTCCTGTTCAAGTGACTTCAGATGAAGTAATTTATGAACTTCTCTGGAAGTATAAAATTTTAAAGACAATCTATTTTTCAAAGAGACACAGAAGCATCATTCAGTTTTTACCTTATCTCTTTCTTTCTATCAAGTGTGAAAGTGTATGGCTTTTTTAAAAAGGACTGAATACCATCCTACTTTTCAAATATAAACTCTTTCCAGAATTAGAGTTCTAAGATGCCTTTAGGTGCCTAGAAGAACAACTTTACAATTAGAAAGGTTCAATTTGAGAAGATTCTCCCTTTATAGCAATGTTATTTCATATATTAAGTATTTTCCTTCTGTTTATCTTCTTCATAGAACTGGGTATTACAAATTAGTTTCACCAAGAGAGGATGGAGTCAACATGTTTAACTGGATAGCTTGCTGGAAATAGTAATTTTAACTTCTTACTTGTCTTCATGGTAGTTCTCCAAAGCTTCGCACTTTGGCCAGAGGCTTGTCTCCTGCATACCTGAGATTTGGTGGCACCAAGACGGACTTCTTAATTTTTGACCCAAAGAAGAAGCCGACCTTTGAAGAGAGACGTTACTGGCAATCTCAAGTCAATCAGGGTGAAACTTTATTTTAAAATAATAATAATAACAACTATATATTTTAATTAACTTGAGTCAGTCATGGGCATGCTTAGAGAAAAAGGTTATTGTTCATACCTAACAATTTGTTATTGTTGTCGTTGTTATGTGCTGTTGAGTCAGACCCGACTCATAGTGACCCCTCCTTGGGTTTCCGAGGCAGTATCACTATGGAAG